GATGTCGTCACTACTATTCTTACTAGATTCGCATGATTTCCATGTTCTAAGGAGATACTTCTAACAGCTTTAAGGTTTGAAAAGACTTCTTTATGATTCGTTTACGAAAACTACTCTCAGTTTTTTTTCATTTCTCTAGGATAGTGTTTGATAGGTGGATCGAGATCGAGCTGCTGGATCCAGAGGCTGCACAAAGGTCTCTTGCCGCTGCGATCTGGCTCCGTACCAGTCTTGACCGTCTCCTTCAAATCAAACTGGAAGGTACGTCATCGCTGGACCTCCTCTAACTTTTCATTTCATAGTGTTGGCATCCCTTGCGTTGAGATGAACACACAAAATAGATTGAGAATGATTGCGAACTGTAACACCACTCATTTCCAATCGTTCTAGTCAAAATTGGAAATATTAAAATGCTGCATAATCACACAAAACATCCAAACAAACGCACTAAATATTCCTCTTCCTCCAAGAGCAATCAAATGGGTTCATGTGAGATTTTTGCAATAAAACTTTAAAGACCGTTTAAGGCGGACTCAAGCGATTTGATAAGTTGGGCAATTGTTATCAGTGTCTTCAAACTCTTTCTCATGCTTGGGCAAAGTATTTGCTCTTTGGGAGCAAATTTTCTTTCATTTCTAACTTAATTTTATCACCAAACCCTCTATTTTGCATGCGATCTGCCGGCGTCAAAGATTGAAGGAGGTTCTATGCTGTAAAGTCCTGTTCTGCGCTGTTTTCTTTTGTGATCAGACCTTTCTTCCAATTGATTGTTCGGTCTCGACCGGTTCCATATAAAGCTTCCTCTGTGCACACTAGTTGCGCATGAATTTTACTGCACGCATGCACACATAAACAAGTGCAATCTTGTGGGAATGACTGGAGCTTTGGGAGGGTGGTTGATCGTCGAGACAGCCAATGAGATGCTTGATGGTTTGCTGGAATGGAATGAAAACTGCTTCGCATTACCTTGTAAGGAGTGGTGCAACCACCAACACCTTTGTGGCAAATAGTTTGGGAATAACGAATAGCTATTCGTTAGATTTTGTTTGTCGTCTGTATTTAGTTCATGTCGGATTTATTCACAAATTTTTCTTCGTGGTTTATATTGCACATTGACTTAACCTCTTGATGCTCTGACTTCTTGTGTTATTTTCGATGCTAATCCGAGGACAGAGTCTCTGCGGAGGCATTTCTTAGAACTTGTTTCAGCTATCTCCTAATTGCCAAGCGTTATGCACATTGCGTGAAGCCTTGTAAACCTTGGAAACAGACTAGACATAGCGATTCGTAAGTGATCTGGTCCATTTTTTGAGAGTATAATGAGGAGTTGTATGCCGACGTCGGGTTGTTTCGTATCAATGCTTCGTAATGCGTACTCGTAAATGGTCGTGTATAGTTTGTAAGTGCATGTGAACAAAACGGTACACACCGGTTTCGCATTTTGCTTAGACACAAGTTTTATAGGCTTGGAAGATTGGAGCTCTATTCTCATAATCTGCTTGGATGTTTTTTAAGAGCTGTACAACATTCTTAATCTGAGTAAACTTGGCGTTGACAGTCAACGATGCTAATTAGATCGCGTTCACACTGTAAATGTGTACGTCTTCTTTCCTCAGAGTTGCGAGGCCGTTGGCTAAGATGTGCGGAGGAGAGTGGTGAGGACAACTTGGTAGAGAAGATGGCCACAGATCTGGCCCCCTCCACTGACTGCTCGACTCACACCAGTAAACGTGTCTCAGAGTGGCGACGCTTACAACGCCTATTGTGCGAACACCTTGCGGCCTTTCTGGGCCAGCAAACCTCTGGATTGCACACTCTGCGGAAATTGAGCGCTGCCGATTCTAAAAACCTCTTTCGTGTGTCTTCACCCGATGGCAATGCCAATGCACTTCCGTCACTTCCCTCTTCAGAGTGTATGCATCGTTACTTTGATTTACTGTCCTCTTAAACAGGTTACTAAGGTTCTTTCTGGACGGTTAGTAGTTGACCATAGTTTATGTTAAATAGAAGGCAGTAGTCAACCCATATATAGCCTAATATGCTTGATGTTTCACACATTTGATTGGTAACCACGGAGGTGGTGCAGGATTGTGTTGTTCTCCGACCCACTGCATTGATTTGGGTACCTCATTTGGTTTTTGTTATAAGGCCAAATAAGTTTCAATGGGATGATGCAAATATCTCCAATTTTGAACCAGTCCTATGCTGTTAAAGCACAGCTTGTGTTTTGCATCGTCTCACATCTACAGTAAACACATGCCGCAGGTATTGAGCTGGTGAGAAAAGTTAAATTTTTTCTGTTTTCCCTTTTAGTTAACGTTGTTCGCGTCAATCCTGAGAAAGGAGGATTTCAGGTTACTGCATTTCTCACTATAAATTCGTACGTTCATTATTTGTTAAAGTATCAAGGCTCATCATAAGCCAGTGTAGAAATGAATCAGAACACTACTAACTGTACGAAATTCGTTGGGTTCAATGAAAGCTTGTATTCAGTCTTGAATTCAAGGTTTTGGAAACTTTACTCATCTACGTAATTGATTTCCTATGGAGTTATTTGATACTTAGGAGTTTTAGTATAAAGCTAACCAGTTTAAAATCATAGAAGGCTGTTGTCCTAACTTTTGCCACTTTATGCTGTAGATGGTCGTTCTACTTCCTCGTCTTTTTGAGTAGTATTCTCCCAGCCAATCGTTTTCTATTAAATCTACAATACTTAGGAATCAATGTCTTTACCGTTTTTAGACTGCGTGCAGATGCACCAAAAGCCAAACTGCCGCACAGTGTAACTGCTGACAATATCGAGGACTCGCAGAATCTGGAGAGTGAGGATGAAGGGAATGGAGGCGATGATGCAACAACAGCAAATCTAGAGTGTCTGGATCTAGCTCTGCGCCTACATAAGCAAGTTGCGTTGGCTCAGGAGGCGGGTCGGAGCAGCGAGTTTGCTCAACTTCGCGAAATGGAGGTGCCAAAGAAAGATGAAAGTGGCGAATGTGGAAGCGAGTTCATCGACGAAAACCAAGCAGTGAATAGATGCGAACATTGTGGTGAACGGCTCCCCAACAAACCTTCGGCCGCTGACCTTCTGAGACATAAGAAACACTGTAAAGGAAGAGCATCGTAGACGCGTCTTGAAGCTTGTATATTAGAAAAGTTATTTTCTAGGTGGCATTCTTTGTGTGTGCGTGTGTGTATGTGTATAGAAGTTTTGTTCATGCTTAAAGTGCGAGCCATATTGGGAATATGGTGGCTGCACACATCTTTTCTTTAAAACACTTTTGCAGTCAGATTTAAGGACAATTTGATAGCTCTCTCTCTCACACATACTTCATAGCCTGTAAATTTCAAGATATAATTATTACAATTCAATACACATAGAGCGTGAGTTCCTATGTCGTGTCCACTAAGTACAGCGATGCTTAGGGAAATCCCATTTATGCTATATCTGTTAAAGGTAAGGTGGAATTCTTCCTTTGTGTGGTTACGTTTAGCATGGTTGCAATTTCAATAAAAACAAGGGAGTGAACTTAGGTGCCATTGCTTGCTCTCTTCTCCATTTGTTGGTACTTTGCTTCCACTTAATGAGCCGCATTTAGTGATTAGGGATTGGCATTATTGGCAGCGACAAGTATTTCCTTCACTCTGTGCAGCCACATTCTGCCATTGTGAACGTCATCCTCCGCATTCCCAGCTCCACTGCAAGATATAATTTCGTCC